ATTTTAACCTACTCCTCTGCCTTTTTACCCACATCGACCTACTTAGAAACGCTGCTTATTGATGGCTAGGATGGAAAATATCCAAGACGGCAGCATTTAGCTCTCATTCGTTATGTGTGTGTGACAGTTGACTGAGGACCCAGGACCTTGGGATGGGAATTTGGGTTGGGAAGTACCATGCTGAAAGCGAGAACTGGAACCGAAGACAACCGAGATGAGCATGGAGCACACAAAATTGCATGTCGAGTGCTGCATAAAACTCGAGTAACAGCAAATTTGTGGATATCGCTGGCCAGCCAAAAAGGTTCCATTCTAAGCTACGAGGGATCTATAGAAAAACAAACCCACCAGACGTTCCAATGCATTTCGTTTTTATTGGAAAAATACTTTATGGTATTATGGGTCCAAAAGCAACGACAAATGTTTAGATAAAAGTCAGTGTATTTTGATAACGGAAACAAACAATTTTATTACATTCATTAAAAACTTATATTTAAGTTTCTACATTTTTGAATAATTATATTATATCTTACATTTTTCAAATATATACGAGGCCACTTTTCGTCACAGTTTGCTGACCATTGAACTTATCTTTCCCCTCCAACTTTTTGTTTTTTTCGGCGAGCAAAAGATAAACAAGCTGCATTGTCAGAGACAATTAAAACTGTAAAGTAACACCGAGGACGAGTCGTGTCACAGCACTTCTGACATTTTAATTGCCCCCGAAATTGTGAAGAAGCTGCGACAAGGACACAAGGATGCAGTACGTCCTGCGAATCAAGTGACAGCGACCACATAATTTGCGGCTCTCGCTTGACTTTAATTGCATTCAGCACTATTGGACGAAACTTAATTTAAACAATTACTGGGACAGGCGTGGGCAAAATCCGCAAAGAGCTGGCTGGGTGGCTGTAGTTGGGGTGATGCATTCGCAGACGCCATAAAATGCAAATTCCTGTTGATCCTGTTTGGCGATGCCAATGCATGTGCTCGGTCCCTGCCATTTAGCCGGGTTAACTGGGGATGTTGGATGCTGTCCCGGCAGCCAGGACGCCGATGCCGATGCCCGACTGCCCTGTCATGTCTGCTGTGCGCCAATTTCCATGCCTTCCTCGAGCAGCGTTCCTGGCGAGCTTCGGCACAAACCAATCTAAGGATGTTGCACAGCCCGCCATCCCACTGCGCCCCAAATGGATGAAAGGGTGGCGGGGCTCTGACCCCTAGCCTGCTCCACTGGGCCTCAGCACAAATATTTGATTTGCATTTTCTTTCTTTTATTGCCCTCAACAGTTGTCTACACTAAAACAAGGGATTTGTAACACACTCTTAAACGAACTTTAAGCAACAATATGTAAACATGTTGGAAACGGAATCATGATTATTGGTAAAATCATATACATAAATACTAATATAAAAGTATAAACGCTTATTTTTCAAATCTTTTGATAATTTAATGAATTTTACGATTTCTTTTTAAGTTTTAAGGCACAATTGTTTAAGATACAAAAACAGAATACAGTGAAAATTAAGTGTTATTTACTATTTAAAATGACATAAACTTTGCCAAGACCTTCGGTTTGTAAAATAAATGATAATTTCAGTAATGATTATGGATAATGAATATGGAATTTATTTTTAAACGTATACTTTTAATTTTAAAATAATAAGTTGGGAATCTTAAAAAAATTACATTAAACAAAATGCTAAGACAATATTTGTTGGTTTTCTTGTTGCAATAAGTTTATTGTGTGATTTTTCTCTGTGTACATTTTTAATGCAGCTTAGTTCGGCTTTGCAACTAAACTGAAACTGGCTCGACATAATCCCCCAGCATTTTAGCGCTGGCATTGCACCTTTGACCCCCATTTGCACATCCAGCGCACCCGCCTTCGCCCCCTTGGAGCAACTCATCAAACTGCCATTACTTTTACCCCCAGCAAATCCGACAGGGCAGTGGTGACGTTGTCACCAGTTGAAGCTCCTGGCCCTAGATAAATATGCAAATAGACTGCATGCCAGTCAAAGGAAGACCGCCCCTAAGATCCCTTCGGCACCCACAAGGGGTAATATTAAGTATACGACATGTTCTCGCAGATAAACAGCGATTAGCCAGGAACTTAAAATTGAGCCACGCAATGAATTGCTTGGATTTCGCATCGGGCATATTCATAAATGACAAGCTCATTAGAAGAGGTCCTGAGTTCATTGACCGACACACGCGCCTTGGACTAGAAAACTTTTGACTGGATCAGCTTTACCCTTTTGTGGGGGGTTTGCAGCCCAAAAAGTAGGCAGCACAACACAATTTTTATCGGGCCCACGCACGTCAAGGTTCGGGCCCATGTCACACCCACTCCGACCATTTTCTAGCCTTTTTTATTTCCCTCTATTTCTATATCTCTATTGGTTTTTTGCCTGCTCTGCCCTTGCGGTTTATTTATTTATTTTTTTAATTTACTTCTCCTGTGCGTTGGGCTTAGTTTGGTTTCGATGTTTTGTGGGAGGAGGGCCATAATTCAAAATGAAAATAAATGTTGGTAAGACATATATTTGGTCGCTTTACATGTAGATTGCTTACGGCTGCATAAATTGTGTGACACAACTAAAGTTTATATTTATTATTCGGTGCGAGGTAACGATATTTTCCAAATGTCCAGATTTTCATGCCTCTGATTGTACAAGTCTTGACTTGGCCATATTGTGATTTTCATTAAGATGTCTTCTAGATACCAGAGAAATATGTCTGAAGGAATTTATTCACTTTCTGCAGCTATGGCATGGCTTAGAGTGACTTAATAAAGTATTTTGTTGTTTTTATATAAGTAAATTAAGTTTTAAAAATATGTAAGTTAGTAAAATAGTCCCTAAAAACGTAAAAATACTTATTTCGTTGTTTTTTACCAATTAAGTTAAATCTATAATCGTTAGAGCTTACATATACGGGGGATCCACATAAATAACTGTGGACTTGAAATCACTTTTGAATGTAATTTAAGGTGCTTATAAATATGCATCAATATATTTTAAGCTCCGAGTATAACGAACTGCATACTTTTAGACACCTTAAACTAAATTTGAAAGTGATTTCAAAACCCGAGTGATGACACCTCCAAATATATTTTATATAAATTCTTTTAAACTTGGGTTTTTTTTCATAAGTTAAAACTTTGTAGTCGTTAGAGTTTAGATATCCGGGGATTCCACCTAAATCAATGTGGTTTTTAAATTACTTTTGAATGTCATTCGAGGTGTTTATGAGTATGCAATGGCTATATTTTAAGCTCAGAAGCACAATAAATTCTTGGGAAAGGCGAATATACTTTATTCACTGCATACTTTTAGGCACCTTAAACAAAATTTAAAAGTGGTTTAAAATCCGTACTGATGGCACCCCCAAATATTTTGTATAAATTCATTTAAAGTTTTCTTTTTATTTGTTAGGCCATATAAACAACAGCCCTTGACGAGATATATGTGAATTTTCCCAACTCAAATTTAGGTTAACTGAAAGTTGTTATCTTCTTATGAACTATCCCCATCACCATAAAAAGCAATCGTTTGGGCATCCTCTGACCCCACGCGTTCTAGGAATAGCTACTCCTGTGTTGTCCTTTCCCTCCTTATGTGTACGTGCTGCGTGTTCTATCGTCCTTGAGGAGGCTCAACTTTAAGCAAGTCAAGCCGAAAAAATCTGCCAAATCATAGGCCATTTCAATTTAAATGTCCCCAAAATCGTCCACGCCACCACCTCGTCCATTATCCTTCTCCACATTTCCCCAACTTTGAGGTCCTGTGAGCTCCATGCTTAATGTGCTTCCTGTTGGCGATGCCGAATCGTGAAATTTTTGCTTGCTGCCCGTTTCCCTAAGCCCCAAGCCAAATTTACCCCTGACTTTGTCCAGTTGGCTTCGGGTGACATGTCAAACACGCAACTTGGGATTTCTCCAGTGTCTTGGTCTTCCTCGAAACCACAACAAATATTGATTATTGTTATGGTTGCTCAGAGGCTACCGCGGATTTGGCCAGGAGCTTAGGAACTGGCCTTTTGGCCATTGACCTCGTCCCAGGACGAACCTCTGACATTCCGGCCCAAATGAGGCGGCAATTTTTCCACACTTTGTGGCTGCTTTTTTAGTGGGCGCTAATTTGTTGATAAATTGCGGCACAATGTAGGCCCTTTAAAGGCTCTTATTTAGGGGCAACAAATCCCGCATGCGACACTTAGTTTTTATGGTTGTCTTAAATTTGTCACAATGATAATCGCGATAAAAAAGCTAATTAATTTGACTTGGCCCTTAGTTAGCCACAAAACGTTGACATTTATTCTATTTGATTTGGAGATTACTATTATAAAGAGAAAAATTCGGAACACAAGCGGAATTAATACTGGGATATGGTTTGAAGTCGAAAGCATTTATAGTATTAAATTATTTAATTTAACTTAATACTCACATTAAGCTTTTCTGCATTTAAATAATATCCCTTTTCCAATCCCTTCTGAAAACTCATAAAAACCAAAGTTGAGCATTCGAATAAAAGTTTTCCTACCAAAAAATCCAACAAACATTTATTCATACATGTGCATTCACTTACAAGCACTTAAAAGCGGCCACAGCGAAAAATTGCAGCATTCATTTTTTATGAAAATTGTTATATTGGTTTTTTGTTATTGTACTTTGGTTCGCTTTTTCGGTCACTCCGCATTTTTGTTTTGTAGATACGCTTCATAATTCTTTATCGGTGCGATTTATCAATTCCAAAAAATAAAGAAAGAAAATTAAATCTGTAGCATAGTGAACCGATGAAAGGCAATTGTTGTGCGAGGAAACCTGCAGTAAAATGTTTTCTTTATGCAAAGTAAATGGACAAGTTGGCTTCATGGTTGAGAATAAAGCCAAACGTGCCTGGTCAAAGTCGAGTGCGACATTTTTTGGCAAGAAGAAGCTGACAAAGATAAAAGTTCGTTTTCTAGAATCAAGTAGGGGTAGAGGAAAATATCATACAAATATCATTCACACTGAATAAACTGCCCAAGTAACAAATTCACAGTCTTATTTTTCAAATTTTCGTTTTAAAATAGTAAGAATATTTGTCTGATTTTTTAAGTTTTGTAATACAAATAATTATGGAGAGAAAACAACGAAAACATGCTTCAGTTGCGGAACGGGGTAGGAAAAAATGCACCGAGTCGCTCAAGGATCTGTTGGGTAGTGTGGGCATTAATGACACAAACGACTGGTTAGATTACGTTAACAAAATCGGTGAGTAAATACAGACACTTTTTCAAATTGTTAGTAAGCTTTAAAAATTTTTATATATTATTTTAGTTGATAATAAAGCTGTACTCGTGAATTCCCCACACAAGAGTGCAAAGCTAATCGAAAGCTCTGAAAAAAAATTAAGTAAAAATTCAGGTATACAAATCTTGTTTCCTCCTCCCCGTTCAATGGATAAACGGAGCAGAAAGATTAAAAACATGAAACTTGAAATAAAGAAATTGTTTGAGCCAGAGTTACAAAAGGCATATGTTCCCGAAAAGAAAAACAGTATTTGCCAAGCTTTGGGTAATTTCTTCTTGATACTTTTCGATCAAGGACCCATTGAGCAAATCAGTTGCCTTGTATTCACTATATTCACGATGATAAAGTGGGCGATCTTGAAGCTTAAGATCCAGCCGAGCATTAAAGATGGGCCCCAGGATAAGGCCACTTCCCTCTTGGTTGAGAGAATGGCCCCATTGTGCTCCAATCGACCTCAACCATCCTTTAATGAACGCACTAAGCATAAAAACCACAAGTTTTAAAAAGTCAAGTTGACTTAAGATAATTATCCCGCCGCTCTTCATTAAAGCATATTGTCCATCTCTCAAGATACCAAAAAGCCTGATGAAACTTAAAAATGAGTACATAGTTACACTCGAGGAATGCCTTCTATTCGGAACGAATTTATTTTTCGGAAACATGTATAATTTTGTAGATGTTTTTGTAATGTAAGAAAAGACAAAATTGATTTTCTAATAAAATTTAAAGAAAATTAAATAAAAAGCATGCGTTGATACACGGAAGTAAACCACGGGGATAACCATTTCTGATTTATATTTGATTTTTAAGCCCAGTTTCACATCTACTATAGGTTTTTAGATGGTATAGATTATACATTTAACAAGATGTTCAAACAAAATGTTCAAAAACCAAAGAAAAGTGAAGTGGTACGAAATATTTTTGGAAAATTTATTAGTTGATTAATTATCCTCCAAAATTAATTTTGTTGTGGCAAGTTTTAACTTTTGATACTTCAATAAATATAAATCACAACCCCCATAACGGTTCACCACTTAAGTTAAAGGACTTCAAGTATCCTCTCAAGTGAAAAATCAATCTCGTTCCTTAAACCCCATAAATTCGCTCAGTCATCAAGTGCAAGTGTCGCCGTTGCGACATTAATGATTAAACTTAATAAGCCATGTGATGTTTGATCTATTCCGGCTTTAATGGGCACCGCGAATGCTCACTTTTCATTGCATCGTGTGGCAAATGCGTTTGGGGAGGAAAACCATAACAATCCCACCTCGCCACATTAAGTGCCATCAACAATCAACGCAATTTTCGGTGAATTTTTATGTGGGAGCGAGTCAGCGAAGCGCATTAAGTAAACGCCACTAGACGAATCTCGTTTAGTTTAACGCTAACAGTTTTCCACCTAACCCGGTCCAAACTAACCCCCTCCCCTGTTGTTTATACCCAAAACAAGTTCACCGAAGGGGTTAAGAAAATCTGTTGCAAATTGTTCGTCTTTGTTGCTTGTCTGGCTTATCGCCGACAGCTTCAGTTTGTCTGGGACAGCTCACGAGCTAAATTATTGAAATTTGACAAGTGAACTGGATGGATGGTCGGGGGGTGGATAACCAGCTCTCCAATTCAACCAATCCAATTAATTAGCTCTTGACAGGGCGACACTCGAGTTATGAAATTAAAGCCAGGCGATGTGGCAATTGTTACGCAATTTGTCAAGTATCGATTATTGATTAAGGTTTCCCCGGGGTTCTATTCTTAGCATCTTGTTTTTGATGCCCTGTGGTCTTCCTAAGGGCTCTGTTTTTAGTTAGCCCCAGGTCAAAGGTCAATGGGGCGTATATTTGATTAAATGCAAATGATAAAAGGCAAAATGAGTGGATGGCAAAAATGTTTTAGTAAAATTATACATTTATGAATGAATTTTTTAATTGACTGGGTAGGGAAATATTTTTGTTTCCTATTATTTTATTACAATCATGATTTATTTATTGGATCTACTCTTCAGCACCTTTAAGTTTTACATTTCAGGTCTCATTTTTACTACCTTTCCTTTCCCATATACGCTTAAAGCCAAGTTTTAATGAATCAAGTTGACTTAAGACAAAATTATTCCTGATGTCAAAAGTCAATGGGACGAATATTTGATTAAATGCTTTTGGGCAAAATGGTTTTAGTATAATTATGCATTTATGAATGAATTTTAAAGTTACCTAGGTAGGGAAATATTTTTATTTCGTATTATTCTATTTTTTTTAAGCTTTAAAGTTCTTTAAGTTTTTACTACCTTCCCTTTACCATAACAAATAAAGCCATCCATTTTTACTCACCAGTAGTTTTTCTATCGCTTTAACTGCTACCCGGAGATACAAACTTACTGGCGACTCTGCGCTGGTTAAACACTCATAATGGCCAGCTTAGTGTCGGCTAAAGTCAAGTGGTAGCCCCGTCTGCCAGACTATCTCTATGAGTCTGGGATGCCTCCGTGCTTGCCCCAAAACTTTAAGCTGACAAATTATTCAAAACAATGTTGTTGGGGCCAAAGTTGGCAGCCAAAGTGGCTAATGAAAGAGCTTCACATTTTCAATTGTTTGGCTTTCAGGCATTTCGTATCTTTCAGCGCGAAATGAGTTGCCACTTTTTATGGCCAATGCCGTTTTATTGGAGACCCAAAACTATTCGTTGCAGTTAAGGCTAAAAGGAAATAACAGGATCTGTAACTGAAACTGAAACTGAAACTGAAGCGCAGACAGGCCCTCATACATATGCAAATGCAGCTGGTTCTCGTTTGATTGGGAGCTGAAGCCCTGTTGTTAAATTGAATCAGAAAATTCCGTGGCCAAAGACAGCCGTTGCGGATTTTGTCGGTCAATTGCAGGAGTGTAGGCGGCCAACCATGATTTTCAAACAAACATTTTCGTACCACAATTAGCGGACAAACAAAGAGGTTATTTTTGTTAAAACCCTTTAAAAAAAAATATCTAGAGAATATAAAAAAAGTTGTACTCCACAAGGTTCTACCGAGATTTGAACTCAGATCGCTGGATTCAGAGTACAAAGTGCTAACCATTACACCATAGAACCGGGTGAAGGCCTCTTAAAAAGTTTAACCCCTGAAATCACGGGTCGTTAGGTAGAAAGAAAAAGCTTCTTTTCTTAATTATACATAGGTAAATATATTTGTTATAATATAATTGGAAAATATATAATCTTAAAGAACTGTTGAAAGTCTAAAAATAAAACCGTATTAAAAAAAGGTGAAGCTTTCTTATTTAGGACATAATTTATTCATATTTCTATTTACCCAGACAGAGTTCATATTGTCAAAAACCTAACTAAATAATATTAAGGAATATGAATATTTCAGATATATTTTTTAAAGTATTTATCTAAATTTTAGCCATAAGCCAAAGAATTTATTACAACCATAAGAAATAGTATTCCTCGCCTGCTAAATTTCCTCTGAGTTTCTTTGTTTGGATTTTTGGGGGCGTGTCAAGTCAATTATGTGCAGCTAACTTTAATTTGTCTGACTTTGTTTGTGATCCTGTCTTTGTGCTGGTGTCGCACAATTAAACGGAGCTAATTAGCCAAACACTTGTAATGCTAGCCCCATCGTTTTACCCCTCTGCAGAAGACCCCTCCCACCGAAAGGACTTGTTGAAATGCCCGGACACGTTCATTGCTTTGCTTACCTCTGGTTTAAATGGGTTTAAGCGTTATTTTTAAATAAACCCCATTGTACATATATGTCCGTAGGGAAGGCCACCTAGATTCCCGTTCTCCTGGCGACATTATTATCACATCATTTGCATGCGTTTAGTGGGGGCGGTGATGGAGGTAAATAAGTGGAACTTTGTGCAGCTCAGGCGAACGTAATTCGATGCCAACTTTGATGATGACAATCTCATTAACATGACATCGGAATCAGAGCTCGTCGGGTTATGTTGTCATATAATCGGGAATAAAATCCGAGAGACAGTTCAATGATAGATGCTCGCTTTATGCTCGACTCTTGTCTGAATAAAAGTCGGTTCCCAATCGAATTGCCACTGCCATTTTAACTCTAGATGGTACTGATTTAATTTGTTTTCTGCAGCATCTAGTAAGCTTTTTCTACATGAATATCTACATTCTACTTAGAGCTGTGTAGAGTTTTTAGGAGGTTGGAGTCTTCGCTAGGGAGTTAAGCTTTTACAGTCTGTGCAAAAAGGAGTCTGAATTACATGGGATAAAATAATTTTCAGTATTGAAATACCTGCTTTTATGATTTAAAAATTAAGTTAATATTTTCTGTTAACGTGTGCCCCAAAAGTAAGAGCAGTTTTTTAATCAGCAATATTTTTTAAGGTTTTTATATATTTGGGACTTTTTAGATGGGCTGTGCACTTTCCCCGTTATTTGCAGTCTCAACTATGATCAACAAAAAAAAGTTGTTTAAGTAGAGAAATTTACTTAAAAATTAGTATAATGTCATTTTTTTCCGTAAGTTTTTATATAATTTACTTCAACTTATTTCTATTTGTCTTTAATATTAGATAATATTACTTTAATATTTACAAAGTTAAGTACATATAAGAGATTTTAATTTAGGTTGTATTTACAATGATGCTATTTTATATATTGTAAGTGATTTGTGAACTGTTTAAGAACTTTAGTATATTAAACGTACTCTTTGTTTATGTATTTTTAACATAAAACCCGAAATAAAAAACTATTTTACTCAAAAAATACGTAATTTATAGTTCATCTTATCTAAAAGTACCAAAACTATACCAATACTTACGAATTTAACAAAAACAAGGATAACTTTTTTTTTGAAAGTTCCAAGAAATATTTGATCCCGTTAAACGGGATTCCCATAAAGTGATTGTTTTAACTCGAAAAAACTGCATTTTTATTTAAAATATCTTGCTTGCCTTGAAAGATTTATATACATCATTAATTTGATTATAATAAATATTAAGATGTGTGATTTATTGTCAAGATATCTTCACGATATTTCAAGATCGATATTGGCCGCCAGTCACAGTTTTCAGCTTGCGCATCTCCATCGGCAGTGTTGGGAAACACCGCATTTCGCTTCCACCACCGCACACGTGTTTTAGTCACCGCACGTTTAATTTTCATTTCTGCGCGAAATACTCACAGCTAAGATGGCCGCAGTTGCTGAAACCCCCAGTGTGGAAGTCCAGGAGGAGGAGGCGAAGCCCGCAGAGGTGCCGGTGGTCGAGGCGAAGAACGGCGACGCCAAGGAGGAGCCGGCCCCGGCGGCCGAGGAACCCGCTGGCGACATCTCCAAACAGGAGCGCGCCATTATCCGCCAAGTGGAGTACTATTTCGGCGACGCCAATCTCAATCGGGACAAGTTCCTGCGCGAGCAGATCGGCAAGAACGAGGACGGCTGGGTGCCCCTGTCCGTGCTTATCACATTCAAGCGATTGGCCTCCCTCTCCACGGATCTGGCCGAAATCGTGGCTGCTCTAAACAAATCCGAGGAGGGCCTCGTCGAGATCAGCGAGGACAAACTCAGCCTGCGTCGCCATCCGGAGCGCCCCATTCCCGAGCACAACGAGGAGCGGCGCAAGGAGATCCAGGAGCGCACCGCCTACGCCAAGGGCTTCCCCCTGGACTCTCAGATGAGCGATCTGCTCGACTTTGCCGCCAACCACGACAAAGTGGTCAACCTGACCATGCGCAAGCACTACGACAAGCCCACCAAGTCGTACAAGTTCAAGGGCAGCATTTTCCTCACCTTCGAGACCAAGGAGCAGGCCGCTGCCTTCCTTGGGCTGGAGAAGCTCGCTTACAAGGAGCGCGAGCTGCTGCGCAAGTGGCAGGTTGACTATCTGAAGGAGAAGCAGGAGGAGTACGCCCAGAAGAACGAGAAGCGCAAGAACAAGAAGGAGGCCAAGCCGGAGCCGGCCTTCGAGCTGCCCAAGAACGCCATTGTGGTCTTTGAGGGTGCTCCGGAGACCTCCAGCCGCGAGGAGATCCGCGAGGCGTTCGAGAAGATCAAGGACTTCGAGGTGGCCTACATTGAGTTCGCCAAGGGCGAAACCAAGGGCTCCGTGCGACTGACCGAGGCCGATGCGGCGGAGAAGTACATTGCCAAGGTGGAGGAGGGCAAGGTGAGAATTCCACATAGATTTAATCCGTACCAAATGTAACTTCGATTAGTGAGGTACTAACATTTAAGAACTTTATAACTAAATACCAAATTTTCCGGTCCACAGCTCAAGTTCAACGATGAGGTCTCTCTGACGCTGCGCAAGGCCACCGAGGAGGAGGAGAAGGAGTTCATCGATAAGGCCATCGAGTTCATGAAGAAGCGGCGGGACTTCACCCGCAACAAGGGCAAGCGCTTCAACCGCAAGCGCCACGGCGGAAACGACCACAAACATGGCCACAAGAAGTCGCGTGGGGACTAACTCAACCGTCTATCTTCCGCCACCCGAGTCTTAATGGCAGTAAACCAAGCTTAACTGTTACTCGGTAGATCTAGTTGACCTAGCATTAAGCTCTTACTTATATAACATATGCTTTCGTGTAGTTTGCAAAATAATCGTAAGAGATACGGAATATTCTCCAAAAAATATGTATAGTCTGTTTACATAGATAACGAGGTGAACTCTAATTTATTTTACATAGAAGACTACGAATCCATTTGTTTCTTAATCAGAAAGTTAAAAATACAGACCAGTTTGTAAATCCCGAATTGAAAATGTGTTTCTTATTTTGTTTTTTTAATCAGCAGCTACCAGCAATAATGGTTTGATGAAAACTGTTAAAGAGCACGAAGGGATTCTACGAATGAGCTGAAGCAATCACGGCTAACCAACGCAGCAAACGACAAAAGAGCTTACCCAGAAGCAAAGCCTTAAAAATAAATGAGCCCAACAAGGCCACGGGAACTTTTAGAGTACCAATCAAGTTCCTAGCCAACGGCTCACCCATTTTTGAACATAATATTACTGTGCCATGTAATAGGATATTTGAAACAGCCGAGTTTTCACCTAACTTCCAGGAAAGTAACATATAACAAATTTAGAAAAAAGGAACCCCACAAGATGTTCAAAATTATAAAGGAATATAGGTCCTTAACTTAACCATGTAAGTCTATTCGTCAGTACTACTTAATCGCCTAAGTTGGTCGAATATAACCACCTCCTCAGTGAAAACCAGATGGGTTTTAGAGCAGGATACTTAACGGTTTATTGTATATTTGTACTAACAGCGATAGCGCGTGAATATCTTAGTAAAGACCGAAAACTTTATATGAATCGCCGGAAGCCTTGCAAGGAATGATAAACGCCGCCCAGGTCTTCTGTGAAAAATATAACCTTTAGATCGAAAAGTGTAAAGTGCTGATAGTCCGCGATATGAGAGGAAGGACTGACCGTAACGATCAATGGAGCTTCAATGGAACCAGCCTGGAATTAATAAAAGAATTTAAGTACTTGGGAGTGATGCTAGCGAGCGATATGAAGTTTAAGAAACATGCAACACTGAAACTACAAGAAACTAGGATAGCAATTGGCAGCACATGGAACGCTTTCTTTCAACAAAAAAATATTAAACCCAGCACTAAATATCTGGCGACTGCCAGCGACCACATGCTATTTCTTGGAAGTGTGAGTATGGGAACTCCAAGCAGACGTGAAAAAAAGCCAAAGGCATTTCATAAAAAGAATCTTCTACTTACGACAGAACACACCAGATTACGCCATACACTTCGAAACCGGGATACCTTCACTTTTTGCCTACTCGCTAGGAATTCACTTCAAATGTGTAAGAAAAGCCCTGGAAATGCCACCACATAGATATCCAAATATCATTGTAAAACACCTCCTGGAGAATAGATCCAAATGCTTCCAAACGTGGTGTAGCTTGGCAAACGCCCACAACATGGAATGACAACAAGTTAATCTAATTCCAGCGATAGCTGACCAGGACAGACTAAGGTGGGAAAATGAAGTGCCTCAAAGCCTTGTGCGAAATATATATTCACGGTTAAATTACGATCTAGCAGATTACTGGAACTACTTTCAGGGCGAGTTGGGGAAGGCATTCAAGGCAAGAGTTGAAATGCTTCAGCTTAAATATAGACCGCACCACCCCTATGTAACGCGAGAGAAGCAGGACACCCAGCACATCCTAGTAAGGTGCTCAATACTGCAGGAAATACGATTTTTTACCTTCGGCAGTACAGCGATGACTGAAGACGAGTTGATTAATCTAAAAAATGGGATTAACTGGGACTCGATAGCAGCGTATATGGAGCGCGCCCAAAAATATAAAAATAAAATCATATCAGAATATTTCTACATGTTAAAAAAGTTAAAAGTGATATGTGTAATTAACCCGTGAATTGTACTATCTCAGATTATGTTGCCTGTGTTATTCGTGTTAAGTTTCTGAAATTGTTAAAACCACCTAGTTAAATTGTACTCGTTCATTGGCTAACGGCAATTTGCCCAGCCTATTATAGGTCAAAATAAACTACTACCACTAGTATTTATTTTTTTTATTGCTGTTTTGTGTATTTTCGATCTCTTTGTGTGTTCGCGTGTATGTTAAATTATTGCAAATAAATTTTACTTAAAAGCATAAAATGTAATATTACAAGTACTTAAATGCATTTACAATTACGGAAAAGAAACAAAAATGTTCAAAAATTGTTTAGAAAAACTATAATAGCAGTTACAATTAGGCAATTTAATGATTTCGTTAGGGGTTTGCTTTGCATCATACGCTTAAACAACTAAATAGAGGTCGCTTACAAATTAGACGCACTTAGGGGAGAATTAAAACTAAACGAATTAACTAAATAGTTTGGTTTGCATTGCAACACCGACTAAAATTAAATTAGCTATCAAGTGGTTCTTGCGTTATACATTGACGTCGTAGTTAATGGGGGAACAAAACGAAAACTTCACAAGGTAAACAAAGATCTGCGCAAGCACAAAAGTTTCACAACATTTTCGATTAACTATCTTCGACAACCGAAATTCCTTCTCTGAACTGGGAGCTGTATAGCGAATATGGATGCATGTACTATCTACGATACTCTGCTCATGCTAAATCGAGAGCAGGAGCCGGGTTTACAACTAAGATCGAATATATGTGCACTTGATATACGCGGATACAAGAGTTATGATTATACATATGTACTTAATCAACATTTACGCATAAATTAAACAGTTATAAACAACGGCATCGTATTGCGATAATATAATGTATAGCGACGTGTAGGTTATCTCCTTTATAAATAGTATGTGGTGGGGTGCGCTCAAGCGGATCTCTCTGTAGCCGGCAGAAAATGTACAAAGCTTCAGCCAGGAATTCTCGGTATTCTCCATTGCTTATTCACTAGACTAACACGATTTACAAACGAGGCTCCTTGAGGCTCTATCCTTTAAGTGTACAACAGTCGATCTAATCCATGTATTTGTAAATAGCTAATTATCCAAGTGCGTTTCGAAGGCCCTAAAACAGTCGCGTTGAGAATGAAAATTCAAAACTGCTCTGGAATTATGGTCAGTAATCAAACAGTGTCCGTTGTCCGTTAACGAGTCAATCCAGGTCATGGGTCAATAAGAGTATGTATAGCGATATAGAGCCAAGTCAGTCGTTAGAACTCCATTGCAACCATCCTACGGTCTTCAAACGCACTGCAGTGTGATCCCATCCGATCCCGCCTACTTCCAGACGGGCGTCAGATCCAGGGTGAGATTCTGAATGGTGCGGTTCCGGGCGGAGCTGCGCTTCTGCTTCACGGAGCTGGTGATCTCGTTGACCAGTCCCTGGCAGTCGTTGCACACGGTCACCTGCTCGCCCCGCAGGTTCTCCTTCTGCTCCTGCGTCTGGGCCAGGTGGCTGCCGGAGGAGAAGAGGTTGAAGCCCCTCGAGAAGCGGGATCTGAAATGGAAATGTAATTAGTTCAAACTCCCTACTACGGCAGATCCCAAAACCCACTTCCTCTCCAGCGTGCTGTTGTTGGAGAGCGGTCGATATGCTGGGCTGTGCACGGGCAGACTCCGCGGTCCCTCCATGCTCCTGGACATGGCGTTGTTGTAGTGCTGCTTCTGCTGCTGATGCACGCCCGAGGGTCGCATGGCCGCGGAGTAGGAGGCCGACATGGTCGCCTGGTCGTGCAGTGCCTCCACAGCCTGTCCAGTGGCCGCAGCCGAGGAGGCGGATGCTCCGGGTCCCACGCTGATGCCCGGCGTGCTCATGTTTGATCTTTGGTGCTTGGGTGATGATGGGGCACTGCCCACAGTGCTGCGAGTCTGGGGTACAAGGAGGTCATTACTCTGATGGCTAAGATCAAGGATATCTCGAAAGCTTACCTTTCGATCTGACTCGGAGCGCAGGAGACGCTCGATCAGCGACTTGGGGAACTGGTCATCCATGATGTTCCCCGTCGAGGACGAGTGCGCCTGCTGGGCGTGATGGGAGGGTGATGGGGTGCTCGAGCTGGCCGGACTGGACAGCAGCGATGGCGAGATCAGCACGAGGGGCACATTGCGGAAGTGCTCCGAGGGAATGCGCATCTGGGGGGAGGCACACATTATATATAACTCTATGATAGGTAAGCCGTAATCCTAGAACCCACCTTGGTGTAGCACTTGGCGCAGACGGTGCGCTGGCACAGCTTGCACTGGATGCCCCAGGGACCGAAGAACGAGAAGCGCGTCCGCAGGCACAGGAAGCAGACGCGCCGCTTTTCAACATCCTCCTTGACGCGCACGTCCATCGGCAGGCCCTCCAGCTCCGCCTTGGTCATGACGGAACGGATGTGAACGATCTCCGCCAGCGTGACGGACAGGCGATCGTCCCCCCGTTCCATCCAGGTCTGCTTGTCCATGAAGGACTTGTTCCATGGCCCAAGCGAGGATGTTGAACTGGCCTCGTCTGGGGGATAGGTCTGGTTCGCAGGACTTCTCTTGGGGGTCTGCAAAGGATTATAAAGAATACATTTTTGAATATGATATAAAAGAAATTTAGGGATGGAAACATTGGAATATTTAGAATACTTAGGAGAATTCAACCCTTTTATTAAGTAGAATTCAACACATTAAATTGATTTTCAAAATAACTAAAGCTTTCTGTATTCTTAAGCTATGCAAACTAAGAATATTATTTTATTATTAAAAAATGGGGGACATTTTAAATCTTATTTATTCAACATAAATTGAGGTATCACATCAACTGAAGCCATCTGTCCCATCACCAAGGTTCTTTTCTCTTTCATAGGGAACCATAAAAAGACGAGCATATTGAGGAGTAAATGAAAGCCCTGTCTCATCAAAGAGATGTGGGCTAGATTACAAAAGTTACGAGGACCCTTCTATTTTTATGCTGGGCACAAGGACTCACCTCCTTGTTGACGTCGTCCGATTGACGCGACTCGGGCCGCGTGGGCGGCATGGAGTGCGTCTCGTCCAGGTTGCTCTGGCAGCCCACGATGGTGTGGCGGCGCAGGGAAGCCCTCCTCGACTCGCACTGAGTGGCCAGGTCGTAGGCTGTCAATGGAAGAGAAGGAAAGACAGTCAGTCAGGGTCAACAGGGCGGATGGGTTATTTCCATATGCGACAGTGAAGGGGGTGGTGTTGGTGGGAAAAGTGGAGAACGTTAAATGTCAGATGTTTATTTCAAAAGCAAGCTGGGTATATAAATGGGTGTGTGTGTGTGGTATATGCTTTCATGGCTGACATCTAGGTGCAATTTCGAGATCCAATATGGGGGACAATCATGCAAAATGGCAATGCATCATGTTTTCTTGGTTTTCTTAGCAAATATTTACATTCCAGGGCCGTGTCGTAGAACCTGTGGTACTCGTCCTCCGTGAAGGAAGGCTCCTCTGGAGGCGCCGCCTGTCTGGCTGGATCCACTGATCGGGTTTTATTTTCGTTTCAGGCAGCAGTTCATTTTGTTCGTTTTTTACATTTATTTTATTTTTGTAAGCGTAATTTTTTTTTGGCAAAAGTGAAAATACATTATTTTTATACGAGTAATGGCAACCAAGAAATTGAGTTGGTACCAAAGGAAAAGCTACTACGGGTGTACCAAACAAAATAATACTAAGGGCAAATTACAGTTGACTTTCTTTTATTTCTACATTTACTTAGGTGTTTTCTTTTTTACAAAATATTTCGAGATTATTTGTTGTATATTTGTGTTGCTCATTGTGTGTGCTTGAGTGCCTCCTTAACCGATTGCCAATTTTTAATAGTGGTTTGTTAATCTGCCCACACCAAATTTTTTTGGAAATTTGCTTTCTTTTTTTCTTGGTGCGATTTTTTGGTAACTATTCTTTCACTCGATTTTGTTAGGGCTTTGCTTGCGTCATACAAAATCATAAAAATTAATAAATCGTTATAAGTTAGCATTGAGTTCACAGAAAAACGATCAAATACCTTGGCAAAATTAAGTTTGTGTTTATTTTTTGGTTTTTTGTGGAAGGAAAGGAAAAGTAAGAAATAAAAATAATATAAATTATAATGATAAGAACTAAAACCATATTACAGACAGTGAGTTGAACTATTACAAGGCAATTTGTGAAATGACAAACGTTAAGAATTCCATTTCATTTGTCCTGTGGTTTTCAACTTTCTGTCTGCAATTCAAAACCGAAATATGCATATAAAGAAAGACTTAGGGCAATGGCTTGGCCATGGCTTTAAGGCTAGAGCACAAAGTAAACCGGTTTTAAATAAAAGATATTATATGTTCTATAGAGCACGAGTTAAGTAAACAATATGGAGTGGTTGATTAATTAGCGGACGAGTAAGATCATTAATAATTTGGAGAAAGATTTACAAAATATTTCTGAAGTGGCAGGAATCATGTAAGATTTCTTAAAATATATGCACTATAAGAATTACCAAACCGAAACCGTAAACTTAGGTTCTTAGCCAAGTTAGTTCCCCAACCAATATCTTCTCAAATTACAATAAAATCGAAACCGCTCTAATACTTTGTGCTCCAGTGCTGTGTGCTCCCAAAGTGCCCGAGTGGGTTATAGATAGACGTAAACAAATATATTGCGTAATCCCTGGTAGAATCGGATACTCACTTGTGCGTCGGGGCCGCATCAGCGACGCCGTCTCCCGGCAATCTTGTCGTGCCTGGCTGGGCACCATGTAGCCACCAAATGGATATGGCGGCATCTTGGGCTGCGAGCAGCGGTGCATCTCGGCCAGATGGGGATGATGGTGGTGCTGCTGATGGTGGTGGGTGGCCGCTGTGGAGTGGGTGCTGCTGATGCTGGACTCATCGTAGAAGAGATCTTCGTCCTGGGGAATATCACGAAAGTAAGTAGAGTTTCCTTTAGGCTTATTGAGTGGCTTTGAACTCACCTGGAACTTGGAGAAATCCACTTTGATGAGCCGCTGTCTGGATCGTGACAGCGTGGAGTTTGCACTTGGAAGCACTGCAAGAAAAACAGATCGGAGCAACAATAAGTCCTCGATTTCTCAGGCGAAAGTGGTGGGAAAAAAGCGCTGGATT